GACATAAGGGAGAAGATGCATCCAAAGTCACAAGGCATGCACCTGCCACTCAGATGGAAAACCGTTGCAAGATTTTCTGGCTGTCACCAGATGAGATAATGTGGGGTTTTTGTGAAAGAACTTCACATTAAAAAAAATACAGTAGCAGATGCTTTGATTAAAGAGATCTGAATGTTGAAATACTTACATTTTTGAGCAATCTTTGTGTCAGCCTTCCTGAAATATTTTGTTGAAACGCATATTTTAAAACACGTATTTAAAAAAAACCCCACACTTCTGCTCCAGTGTGTATTTCCAGTAGCATTCAGGAGAGATCTGTACTCTGCAATCATGGTCTTGGTGTTTTGGGGTTTGATTTTTATGGGACAGTTCTCTAGTTTTATTTCTGGCCTTACATTTTTGTACACAGTAATATACATTCTGACCCTGACGGGCAATAACTAAGAAAGTAGTTTCACAACCCATTACACATTCCCACCTTATCCTGGGCCCTAACAGCACCTTGGGGGTTCCTCCTCACTTCAGAACCAGCATTTGTGTGTCTACAGGGGCAGGCAGATCCAGGGGCTCCTTCAGTATCCACATGACTCTGATGCTGATCTGGGCACAGGAGAGAGGAATATTTGTGTGCAGGAGCAGGGAGGGGTAACCAAGACAGCTTCTTTGGTGGCTGCCCATGCTTAGATCATCTTCAAATGATTCTGAAACCTCAGCCTAAGTTAATTTGCATTCACGTTTGGATTTCTGTTTTATGTGAGATTGAGGGCTTTTCTTTGTATGAATTACCTGCCATTGCTCAGTGCTGCAGCACGTTGTTACCCTAAGCCTGCTGTAATTGTTTTGTGGTAATACCAAAGGTGGGAAATGGAGGAGAAACAACAGCTTGTCAAGTTTTTGTCATCTTTTTGTGTACAGAATTTGTGGTGTTAGTGCAGCCTGTGAAGGATGCTCGGCAGACAGGGATGCAGCAACTGCAGACAGCCAGACGTCCTGGGTATAGATTTATAAATGGGCTGTAGGGAAGGTGAAAAGCTTTGGAGGTGCTGCCTGTATTGGTCCTGAAGTGTATGATGATCAGATGTCAGTGTGTGTTTTGTTAAAGGCTAAGAAAATTTCAGAGAAGGGGGAAAAAAAATGAAAAAGAAGAAAATATAGGAAATGCACACAGTGTTTGCAAGAAGGTGTGCTAAAGCTGCTTCTGCTGCATATGAAATGCCCTTCATTGCCTGGAACCCAGCAGCTTTGTGGATTGTTGGCAATCCAATCCAGTTCTCACAGTAACCTAGCACTATTCTTTCAGTTATTAGACAATTACACTTATTCAGGGAGAGGTGGCGAAGATTTGGTGCCAAACATTCAAAGCAGAATTGCAAGCTTTGTCAAGGCTCACTTTAACAAGAGGTCACTGTAAATTAAAACTGGTAGTTTTATTAATAAAGCAGCATAGAATTGATATAGCTATACATAAATATCTCTAATTTCTTATATAAAGAGAGGAAAGGCTATCTGTGTGTCTGCATTTATGTGCATATAGTATTCAGGAGCTGTGGGATTAATTCCAGCATCTGCAAAGATTCAATACCATGTCTAGCGTGCAGACAGTGATAAAGCAGCACTCACTCAGTTGCTATGACTTTTCCTTCCCAGCATCAGTGCTTAGACCTGGTAGACCATGGGCTGCTACCACTGGTGATGTGTCCATGCTGTTGTGGGTTCCCTGGCTTCTCCAGAGGAATCCATGATGAGTTGCAGGTACATTTGGTGGTGATTTCACGTGCATCAGTTGTTTTGGTGGATGGGAAAGAGCCTCACCCATGGATATGCTGTTATCCTTCGTTTCCTTAATGATGTCACTGAAATACAAAACAACATTGTAAGGCATGCCATTGGGTCACAATGGTTATTAGAATAATAATTCTACCAAGTTAACCTGTCCTGTATGTAGACAGATTGCCCTCTTCTTATTATGTCTGATGTTCCACATGCATTAGATACTGACCACGTTAATATGTGAAGGTTCTGGTTATACAACAGGAGGTTTATTTTTCTTACAGAGTTAAATAATACAGAGGTTGTGTATTCTCTGTGCACATGAAATACTGAAAACCTTTTCATCCATTTACTGAGTCTGAATGTTAAAGTTCTTTCAGCTGGAAATGCAAGATCTAGTCAGGCTACAGAAGCATATATAAACAATGTTCACTAATTTCAGTGGAGTTAAAGTGAATCTCAACATCATTTGAACTGATCTTTTGGCTTATTTGGAAGATTAGAATAAAACCCAAGATTGAATTCTCTACCTGATTCAGTTTCCTGTTGATTGAATCCATTTAGACTCATCTCTGATTTAACAGTGTATTTTTATTAAAGCCAAGCATACAAACACCAATTATCCAAGCTGCATCTAATTTCCTTCCACTTTTTTTTTCCTTTTGCTGCCAATGGATTAGAAGACCTGATTAGAATTCAGCTTGAAAGCTGAAAAGCAGATCCTTAAATGAGAATGTCTGCATTAGGAATTAGAATATCTGTACTGGGCATAAAATCCTCCTCCTTATCTCTAATAATGTAAACACAGTTGGTTAAGTTGATCCATCACGTGCCTGGTCCAATGTCCCTGAATTAGGATCATGTATTAGAAAGGGTGGAACAGGGTCTGTGGCTCATCCTGCTGAGAGAAGACATCACTAGTATATTTTAACATCAAAGTGCTTTGCATAAATATCCCCTTACCACAAGGGTTAATGTGATAAGTGTTTGAAGGGCTTTATTTTTGCTTTATGTGTTTTTACCTCCTGGCACCAAGAATGTTTGCATGTGCCCAAGCAGGAGGAGCAAGGCAGAGAAGGGACCTTCTGAGCTTTTACTGTTGGCAGCTTCTGCAGAGGTAAGGATTTTCTAACAACACAAAGGTCGAATAAATAATTGAAAAGCATCACCAACTCACTACCCAGAAGACCCCAAACTGGTAAATGCATGCATTTAACATGCCATTAAAGTGCTGGCCCGTGTCTGAAATACAAGAAAGAGTTATAAAATCAATTAAATTGTGTGCTCTGATTTGACTAGGTTATTAATTTCCCCCAGACACCTAGGGTGCTTTGCCTAGGATGAGGAAGCCATATCATGACCCATATGCAGGCTGTTGCTGTGTAGCTTTATGACCTGAAGCAGTTGGTGGCATGTGCATCAAATCATCCTACCTCGTTTCAGAGGGAGACCTTTGGATGTCAGGATTTTGAAGGGAGTTTATTATTAATTATTTCTCTAATTATATAGCATTAGAGATGTTTCAGGCTTTGAAAAGGCACATGAGAGTTCTGCTTATATTATCAGGATGCCCAGAAGAGTTAGAAAATCTTAATTGGATGACTTCACTGCAAATAGTAAAAGGAGACAAGTAGTAGCAGGGATAGGCAGCATCCTAGCACATCAGCACTGGGAAAACTAGATAAAAGAGCTGGTGTCTAATAGCCTTGAGAGGAGAGAATGGGGCTGTGTCCTCTGTGGTCACCTGGGAACTGTTCTGGCCATGTTTGGGTGGCACCATGAGAAGTCTTGGAGCTGGGAGGAGCAGTAGGGGATGAGGGAGATATCTAGGAGGTGGTCCCATTGCCATCTTCATTTTACACTTCTTGTGCTAGTAATGGAGTTTGATAGTGCAATGGAAACCCTGCAGATGCTTCTAATAAGTGATGTTTTTGCAGACTAGGATATTGCTTAAGGAATGAGTTGATTTCTTGTGGGAAGTGAAGTATTTGCTGAGTTGCTTTCTATTTTCCTTTTTTCTTGCTGCATTGTGGAAGACAGAATTAGGCAGTGGTGAGATTTCACTCCCTGTGTGTGACTGCACATCCCAGGAGTTAATTGTCACATCGTGTCTGCAGAGAAATATCCAACCTGATTGTGCAGAGCTAGAAACCTGCATGACTGCAGGGGATTTTCTTGGTTCTGGTAGGAGTCTGGCTACCTGGAGGTGGGCAAAGCAAATCTGTTCATCTTGTGCAATGAGTTAAGCATAACTGCGGTTGACATCATGCACAAGTGAAATCCAGTGATATTTCATTCCTTCAGACCTTACCCCCTCCTTACTTTGTCTTCTTTTGAGTCAACATGATTCTGGCAAAGCTTGTTTGTGACACCCAGTAAATCTAATGTAGAGTACCCCAAATGCTGTGGATTAGCCCCACCACGGAATGAGAAACAACACAACTGCCTTGGTATGGGATCCCCCCTTGACTTCATGAGCCATGGTAGGAAGCCTGGCACATGGACTTGGGTTCAATATTATGCACCTTTCCAAGTGAAAAGAGGCCACATTAACGTTTTGTATGTATTAATATCTCATATGTTAAGAAAGGTAATTTAAGTGTGAAATAGGTGCAGGAATTTCAGTTTCCAGAAACTGATGAATAGTAGTACTTTGAGGTTGTCAATTAAATCTATTTAATGAATGTTCTTTATTACATGCCTCTCCTTGTTAATTAGAAGTGATTTTTACTCCTCTTTATCAAGTTAGGGCAAGTATATCACCTTCTCCTCGGTGCTGCTTATGTGCATGTCCAGATTGTTTTGTGAAGTGTGCCCATGAATATTGAATTGCATGTGCATCCACACACCCATCCACTGTCCTCTCTGAGCTCCAACCTCTGATGATTTAATACATTAAAAATACTTTTCTTTTTTAATCTGTTTTTATTTATACCTGTCAGTGGGATTTCCCCTTTTCTGTGTAATAACATGGTCATGACATGATTTTAACCAGGCCAGTTTGGACCAAGGCAATTAATGACTGCTGAACACTACAGAAATGACAGATCCAGAATTAATTTCTCTGACTACAGATGTGAAGTTTGTACTTGCCATAAATGAGAACCTGCCAGACAAATATTAATTTGTTCCCTGCTTTGGATCCATTACCTGTGTTCATTTAACAAACAAAGCCAAAACAAAACACAAAACAACCCCCACCTGATTCCTTTTCTGTTTCTTTCCTACAGGTTGAAGCAATACTTGTGAACATTTTTGGTGGGATTGTGAACTGTGCCATTATAGCCAATGGTATAACCAAAGCCTGCAGAGAGCTAGAGCTGAAAGTACCTCTGGTGGTCAGACTGGAAGGTGAGTGCTCCTGTTTTCAGACAAAAATCATCCCTCAGGTATAGAGGATCCATTCTGGCTGCCTTTGCTCTCTAAGCTCTGAACAGATTATTCCCACACAACAAAAATGTGTCCAATTCTTCATCCATAACATCACCTGAAGTCAATAAATTCTTCCTTTCTGTATTTCTGTATCCCAGGTGGTACATGAAGCAATGACATTTTGCAATGGCAGCATTATGGTTTTGCTTCTGATATTTGCAATGCAAATAGAAATTATTTTGATGTCAATTTCTATTTACTGGAAGGTATTTCTGTTTCAAATGGTTTTTTACTGAATGCAATTCCATTATTCTAAACCTGCAGCAACACAGAGTTTTCTTATATTTACTCCAATATCTTAATTAAAAGAGATTTTAGAAACAGTATTTGTGAGGGAGAGATTCCTGTAACATATTCTTCAGCCCAAATATTGAATCCAGCTAAAATCTGTTAAAAACCAGAAGATTTGGTGAAGGTAAGGAATATATCTATATTTTCAAAGTAAATCCAGCTTTATTAAATTGGAAACAAAAAAGTAATAGAGAGGAAGGGCACTCTTTGGCAGTTACTGGGTTTAATATAATGGCAGTAGGTACAGAGTTTTGTCTCTCATTTCTGAGAAATGCCCTGAAGGAGAAAGAGAGGGTTTTCTTCAGCCATTGAATGAAAAGTCTTTTTGGTTGAAATCACCACAGCTCTGTTAAACTTTAAACATTTTTAATTATTTAAATTCTTTTGTTAAGTAGCTTTGGAAAATAGGAGGTTTTCTGTTTGGTTCTGTAAGGCCTGTTCCTGAGAAACATGAATATTTATGTTCAAGTGTGTGGAAAGGGGGTGAAATGTCCTGTCACTCAGCATTGGTGGTGAAGGGAGGAAATGCATCCTCTTATGTACCTGAGGTACAAAACATTCAGGTGTTTTTTAACACTAAGATAGAAAGGGGAGACAAAATTGTTCTGACTACACCAGGAATTTTCCTTATCAAAAAATAAAGTCACCAGGATTCACTCAGCCCTTCAGTGAGGTGGGTGTTTCTGCCTTTCATGAGAAAGCAGGTTTTCCCATCCCTCACTCTCGTGCTACATTACACACCATACCCAGAACATGTCAGGGGTTAATTATCACATCCCATGGCAGTTTTGTCCTCTAAAACTTCTTCTGTGCACTTCATGGCAGTGCAGTGGCAACGTGCATTCTTACTTAATTGTGAGTAGCCTCTTTGCTGCAGGAAGTGCAGGAAAATGTAAATAATCTAAAGTGGATATTAAAAACAAATAATGAAAATTTTCTTTGAATGATGCAGCACCACTAAACACCTTAAGAGAGCAAGTAGATAGTTTAACAGGAATGAATGAGAGACTGAGGAATTGCTCAGAATCAGGAAAGTTTCATAATGTGAAATCCCATTATCTATGAGCTCAAGGCAATTTTTGTTTAGCTTCTTTGTCAAAGCCAGAAACGTTTCCAGTCTGTTGTAGCTGGCAAAAAGTGTATCAGAACTGAAAGACATTTCATCTATTGTACCTGTTTTCCAGGAAAGATATTGGAAGAGCTGTTAGTTTTCCTTCTAAACGAGATGGTTACAAGTTCTTTTTCATGCCTTCTTTGAGACCAGTATAAGGAAAACAAGAAAATCAACTCACTGGTTTTAACCTGCAGTCTGCTATGTCTGCCACTGGGTTTTCTTGACCTTTCTCCAGTGCTTTTGATACCATGACTGTACACTAGTAAAGGTGAATTATTTGTTTGAATGTGACTTCAGGGTGATTGCAAGAGGCAAAGCAGTCCCTGGGCTGAGTGAGGGGAGTCCCAGTTCTTCTGCACTGGAAGAGATGTGGAGCAGGAGAGCTTCTGCCTTGGGGTTGCACAAAGCCCTGCAGAGGTGACTGCAAGGTACCTGTGACCTTTCTGAGAGTTGTGTGCTGCTTCACCCACAGAGGCTGAAGCTGAACCTTCAGAATGTCTAACACAGCTTTTAATGCAAGCACCTCTTGGCCATCTTCTCATGATTGCTTGCTGTTTGCTAGCTATGTAATAGTGTTTCTCTGAGACTAGTTGTTGACTCCAGAGTTTCTTCAGGAAACTCTGTCCCAGTATAATACAGAAAACTCTCCCTTTGGTATAATGTTTATCTCAAAAGTTCTTTTAATTCCTTCTCTTATTCCTAGTGTTACCATCAATTCGTCCTAAACGAAGAGCTGTGATGTTTAAAGCTTTCAGATGTTGTACTTAGAAACTGTTAGCTTGTAACTCCTGCTTTCCCTGCCTCCTTAATCACCCAGCCAAGCAGTATATATACATACATATGTGGTTCTTTTAATCTTTCCTCAGAAATCTGTCCCTCTAGATCCTTAATCATCTTCGTTGTTGTTCTTTGAAATCACACTGGGTTATCCAAAACATACAAGAATTTTGAATTAATAATGAGTACTGTGGAAGCAATGGGGCTGCCCACGACTTTTAAAAACATCACCAATACCATTTTGCATTTTAAAAGGAGAAGAAGGGGCAAGCACTTTTTTGGATTTCCATTTTGAACGTTTTGCCAACAGAAGGTTCATGATTTGTTCCCATAAATCTAACAGATTTGTGACCTGCACTTTAAAGACTCTTTGCCCACATACACTGTATTACAAAAGTCTTGATGACTAGAGTTTTAATCAGTCAAATCTGTCTTGATTTAGCAGGATTCTGTGGACAAATCTTTGTTCTCAGTTGTATAATAATTACAAGCTGTTTTACCAGTGGATAAAGAAAGGATTATTCTCCTCTTTGAAAATGGTAACTTCATAATTACATGTATTTACTTGCCTTATCAGTAAAGAACTCACCAGCTAAGACATGGGATTATTGTTGCTTAAAAAGCTCATGGACAAATGGAGAAACCACATATTCAAAATTTTCTCTTGTACAGACGTAGAAAACTAACTTTTGCTGGTTTTATACAGCATTTTTCCCCTTTAAAGTGTAATGTACTTCAGTTAAGTTTTGTGAAAACTACCTAGAAGTGCTGAATAGAAGCCATACCTTGTTTCTCATTTATGTAGCTCAGAGTTAGATGGAAAGAGGAAAGAATAAAAAATTTGTGAATTAGGTGTCTTTTTCCAAAGCTAGAAATTTTACATTATTTCATAAAATGAATTATCTGCTTCTCTGGTTAGTAGGACAAGAAGAACTGGGAGGAAATAGAACTACTTAATATGTTTAAGCACAGCTAGAAGCAAGTTAGCTTTTATTCAAATGTCTGAATCCAAAATTTCCTATTATATTTTCAGCCATGTAATTCATGGCCTTCTGTGTTCTGCAGAATCTAATGTGTTTTTTTAATATGTTCAGAAATCTACACACAAGTGTAGTTTTGTTCCAGTTTGCATATCTTGCTCACAGATATGGTTTAGTAGGTATACTTATGATTTTCAGAATCCCAAATTGCCTATCCAGAGAAAATAATGGAGTACTGCAAAGTCACAAGTAGAATTTCACTCATATCAGCCTCCTCAGACACCTTGGGTTTAAACAGTCCAATTTAAATGTGCTTGAGCCTTTCCCAGTTTGGATATAAACATGGGGCAGAGGAAAGGATTAAAATATTATTTCAGAAAAGTTTAAGATAGAAAAGGGCAGAAGGTGTGCACAGAATAGAAGAGGTTTAATTGTTTCTTCTGATTAAGCGGTGGAAGTCAATTTATTCTTGACTGCAGAGCCAAGAGCTACAAGCTGTGTGAGCCACCAAAACTTCTGAGGTTCCCTAGCTAAAGATCATTACTGAAAGCTTATCAGTGGCCAGACTTCAAATCAAATATTGACTGAAGGTTAGCCAGCAATGAACTTTAAACCTTGTGCATTATGCTCCAATACCTCTTTCTTTGAGACTTGAGAGGCTACAAGTTTCCAGCTTGTGGGTGAGCAGAAATGGCATGACCTGAGTCCATGCTGGGAGGAAAACTTGGCTCTCAAAACACTCACCTGTGTAGCACATCAAAGCTGAACCACTGCTGCTGCTAATGTAACATGGCCACAATGTGTTCACCTCAATAGTGTTGTCAGACATGCTGCACATTATGAAGTGTTTTGTCATAGCAGAATGTTCTGGGTAGAGCAGTTTATTTTGTGTTAGTCTTCTATTTCCGAAGATTCACCAAAAGTACATAACTCTGTCTTCTCCCCTGCTATCACATTTACCTGAAAAGAAGTGCCATTGCAGAGTCTTGCCTCCTCTCCAGCCATCAGCTTCAAACAGTGGCAGTTTAGCATCTTCCTATTTGTTTTATGACAGTGCAAGTGAACAAATGGCCATTATCAAAATCCTGTTGGAGCATGGTTGGGAATGTTCCATTTGCTTGTTTATGTTCAACCTGTGCAGTCCTCTTGACTTGTTTGGAACAATGTGAGTTGCTGTAATCTCACAATTTATGGAAATATACTTAGATAGAATATTTCTTACTAGGATTTTAAAGCAATGAGCTGAATAGAATTGCTTTGCTGGTGAAAGCAGAGATTTCAAGGCAGCAGAAGTGAAATGTGTGCACACACACTGACCAAGAGGTTGTTTCAGAACCCAAGTTTCAGGAGAGGAGGATATTTCAACTAAAAAGCCTGAAAGAATCTGCTGATAAAATTACATCTTTCCTTTTTTCCCATGAACAGCAAAATGTGACAGAAGGAAAAACAGTTTTTCCTCATCAGAAAGGATTCTTTTAATAGGAGCCAAGTTAAAAAAAAAACAAACAACCCAAAAAAAAACAACCCACCACACACACAAAAACCCCAAACAAAAATAAAATTAAAAGAAACCCAACCAAATAAACAAACCCAAACAAAACCCCCCAGCAACAACAATAAAAACCCTATAAGCTTCAGTCCTGTGAATCCTGACCATTTCTGAGTTGACCACAGTGCAGGTCAGGATATTTAAATAGCCCGTGTATGTGATTCTGTTTACAGTTCTCTAACACCATCCAGTGGCAGGAGGTTAATGTTAGAAGAGTGGGATTATTTATTTGTTTATTTTAACAGCTACTGCAATGAGACAAGACCTTTCTTAAATGTTTCCAGTGTTTCCTGAACATTTAGTTTTAAAACTTTTGCCTCTGCTTGCAGCAGGATCACAGTATAATTTCTGTATTCTCCGTATAACTAAAACATGTGTCACAATGGGAAAGAAAGTTATCATTAAAAATGTTACAGGAAGGAAAATGTTTGCTGAAAAGTATGTTTAGTCATATGCCTTGCCTACAAAACATCTTTATTTAGTAAATACAAGATGTGCCCTTACTCTTTTGACTGAAGTGAGGGTTTATTTCCAGCTTTCAGACTTTCATTTGTCTGCAGAAACACTCCCCCTTCTTTCTTAGTGGACTGTGTTTTGTATTGATTTTGTAATGCACGTTAGACAAGTGGTGTGCAGAGCAATCAATGCAATGCAGAGTAGAACCAATGTATTGTTCCCACTCTGACCTGTTAGTAAATTAATATTGGTCACTTAGTGAAGAACAGAAGTTAGTTTTAAGTATGTGACTATCACAAACACCACAATATTTTTATCTGTGGGAAAATGTCCAGGACATTTTTTCCCTTTCCAGTTTTTTCTCCTCACATCACTTTGTCTTGTAGAATCTTGCTTGAGAAATCAGTGCAGTCTTGACTGTTCTAAATGTTTATCACACTTGTATCTAAATAATAGATAATGCCTTCAAGGCCTGATGGGAATCACTATACAAATGTGAGGAACTTATCAGAGAAGAGAACCTTGGGAATCCATCTGGCTTCCTGTACATTTCTGCTCTGGCACTTGGCAGCATCCTACCAGGGTTGAAAAAAATAAAAAATCAAATATTTTGCTCTTTTTTGCCCATCAGATTCTTCTTTTTCTGCAGGAAAAGTCCCATAGAGTTCTGGATGTTACTGTGTAACCAAATGCCCCTTCTGTCAGAGATTTCAGATGTCTTTGACCTTCCTACACAAGTCCCACAGCATGTCCTCTTTTAAACAGTTCACAGATGGGGACCATGGGCCTTTTCCAGACACCTGCCTTTCCTATCCCAAAATGCTGGGGCCTGCTGTGACAGAGATATCTTTGGGTCTTTCAGTGCTGGGAATGGGACTCCTGACTTTAGCATGCTGGTGAAGAAGACTTTTGAATTTCTCTACTACTGTTGTACAAATTCACATTTTCTATAAAAACTCCCAAAAAGCCCGCAATCATCCTTTAAAATGAACATTCTGGAAGCTGCACTGTAAAGGGTGTACTCCTTGCTTGGTTAATAATTAAGACTATAATTAGTTTATAGCTCCAAATATAATTAAAATTGCTTTTCCTATGTCTATGCATTACAAAGTAATTAAGCGTTTTGACATGGTAAACAGCAAGGAACTTCATGTGGAGGAGGGAGGTAGAATTGAGCCTAAAGAGGATCAGCTCAGGGACTTGTGATTGTGGCTGCTGCTGTGATCCCAAAGTGTGGATCCTACTCCTTCAGTAGGATATTTGACTCCAAGCTCTTCTGTGGTGCAGAGCATCTCAGTGCCCAAAACCGTCACTTGGCTTTGCTGGAAAAAGCTCTGGAGAATTCCTAGTTTCTGTTTCTCTTTTTCTTTCCAAGAATAAGCTAGAGGAAATGGGAAGTGATGCACTTGTCTTGTTAATATCTTTTAAATGTATGTGTTTGTTTGTTTTTTCCTTTCCTGGGCATGTGGTCTGATTGCCCAGATTTGAGCCCTTCATGTACAGAATGAAGCACTTTACTGTAGAGCTGCACAGTCTCCTGCAACATGGGATAACTCAGGGCAGCAGCACCAGGGGAAATGGTGTCATGCTAAGTGCTTCACAGATCCCCTTTTTAGCAAGAATGCAAAAAAAATATATGTATTTAGGAGCAGTCCAGAACCAGTCATATTTTCAGGATTACCCAAGTCTCTCTCTCAGTAGCCCATATTGCAGCTTTCAGTTAACAAGGGTGAATTTCAAGTGCTGTTGACTCACTGGATGCTGATCAGCTGTGCCTGGTTGTTGTTAGTAAATGTGTTAAATCTTCCAAGTGTCTTGAAGGCCTGATCCAGGATTCATTATCCACTGCTCCTGCTGGATGTCCCTACTGACTTTGGTGAAAGTAGGATTGACCATTTAACCTGTTCAAAGCCACTTTTGTGGATGCAAGTGATGTTACCAGGTGGCATTGTCTGTCAAAATTGTCACTGAAATTAAGGATTCCATCTTCTCAGATTTGTCTAAACCACTGAGTGAAGCTGTTGTTAAACTGATGAGTAGTTTGAAGCATTAACTACTTTTACAGAGATTTAGTAGAAGATGCTGATTTATTCATTGACCATAAATTACTAATTATATTAATGTTCTTTCCTAGGCACAAATGTTCACGAAGCCCAACGTATTCTGAACGAAAGTGGACTCCCCATCATGTCTGCAAATGACCTTGAGGATGCAGCCCAGAAGGCAGTGGCTAGTGTGGCCAAAAAATAGCAACTTGAAGATGTTCTGATGGAGAGTGTGTGTTTCACAAGACTTCATTCCTGTTGCTCTTTCAGAGAGGATTAGTGGAGTTTTTCTAAGCAGTCATCAGTGTTGGTGGACTTAATTTGTGACACATGACAAACTTAGGCCTTTGGTTTACAAGGTAGTCTTCAGAAATTTTACATCTACATTCTTGAAAGGTTTGTATGTGTTTGTAGCATTTTGGTAATTTTGTTGTTCAGACCTGTAATAAGACTTCACTTCATAAAGCCCTTTTTCTGCTTTCCTTCCAAAATCATCACTAGTAAACTCGAGACAATAATTATTAATTGACTTCTGTCAACAGGATTGTTCTTTTATCAGGCACATACAGTTCACCTCTTTCACAGTCTTTTCTTTTTTTAATATTACAAAGACTCAGCAAGCTAATAATGGGTTTATATTTTTTATGGACTTTTAGGATAATGTAAAAAATTGTGCTTACAATATATATTTTTATTCAAATGAACAGTGTTTATTTTCTTTTTCAGGAATCACACATTTTGCCTTAAGATTATTTTGTTTTGTAGATGCCAAAGTATACCTCACCATAGGAAAAAGGATTGAACAGTTGGTAGTGAAAGGACTTTCCATTCTTGTACTGTGTCTATCAGCTGGTGAAATGTGATTAATTTTATTTTCTAGTTTTGGGAAACGAGGTGCAGTGTTTCTAGCTCTAACAGTGCCACAGAGAGCTCTAGGAGGATGTCTCTGCCAGTAAGAAAATAGCTGCTAACTTTTTAAAATAACCTCTCTCATAAGTATGTCACTGCTGTGAGGTTTTAAAATAAGATGAGACAAGGAACCACTTTTCTGTCAGGAGCATGGGGTATTCTTCAATTGATTTAACTTCCAAAAAACATTTCTGATTTACTTGGAATAAAAACAAACAAATGAACTTTTAAATCTAAAATGTATTTGATTTCTCAGGCATCAGTAAAAAGAAGTGCAAGAAAAAAATGTTGCAGTAACCAGGTATTGACTGAGATTTATTTTGATTATATATTCTTTTGTAACAGTCGAAATTCAAGCTGTTAGTTACACAAATCATTTATTCAGGGAACAGAAGACAATACCAAATGGCTTGTGTAACTAAAGAACACAGTATAAATCTGACTCAGCCCAGGAATCACATGCTGAAAATCATCAATACGTTTGAACAGTGAACAAACGAGTAGATATTATGGTCTGGTCTTGTAAATGGACAGAGAGGTAAAAATTTGTCTAATAAATTCTTAATTGTGATTTTTGAGCAGCTTTAATCAATCCCATGTTCTACTTAGAAAAATGTAAATAAATTTTTCTTGACATTTCCATTAGAACTGTTACATTCAAAATAGATTATCTGCACTAATCTCTGTCTCTTGACACAAACAGTATAGACAGGTTGGTGTCAGCCACTGTAGGTTTTTTCTTCTCCCTTCCATTCTCTACACATTACTCAAGGAGAAATGTGTCAATATTAGAGTAGCAAAAAAAATATGCCACTGTGAGTGAATGAGGGAGAAGGTTATCATTGCCTGTTCTTGGGGGGATGCATAGATGCTCCCTGCTTTGAAGGAAGACATGTTTACCTCACCACAATAAACAGAAATGTCTCACTCTGTTTTTTAGTACTGGAAATAGAAGCATTCTGGGGAAGAACTGTTTATGCAATGTTGTCATACACTGTGTATCTAACTTCTGGTCTCAGAAGCATTCGTGGTGTGTGTGCCTGATGATTATTCTGCAATAACTAACACAATGTACAACATTTTGTCCAATAATTGTAAAAATGAAGTTGTTTAATGACTTTGTCCTTTCTATAAAATAGAAAATTGTTTCATTTGTCTGTTGTGTTCTCTGTTCAGCTTTTTGTTACAGGTGGGTGAAATCGGATGCATAGGGATGTAGTTTCAACTGGGTAGAACTGGTCTACTTAGAGATGTGCTTATTCTCTGTCAATCTTTTATCTCTATATATCTTTCCTTATACGGAGCCTAATGATAATGCATCTAAATTTTACTCCTCCTAAGCCATATACAGAACAGAACAGTATCAGTTTTACTTTTCAGTCATATGGAAAATTTCATAAGCTCTTGGTTTGTGTTTTGAACATTTGGCATTTCACTTTATCAAGGCACTGTAACCAGAGGTTCTCATTCCCTGTCTACTTGCTCTATGTGATGGTGTCCACAGGATTGATTTTATTTGCATGAGTCATTTCCCTATCAATGGAAATGTGTAATGTTAGGTTTGGTGTCCCTTGGAAAGCAGTTTTAGTTACATTTCCTGTGATTTTAGCTGTTACACATAGCAGGGAAATGCAATGCCTAGAAGGGATGATTTTGCCTTTGCTTGAGCTTGCAGAGCTGCATCCTGGCCAGAGTGCAAGTTCCTGTCCTCAGCAGCTGCCTGCTGCCCCCCTGCCTCTGCAGGACCAGGAAAGCTCAAACCCAAGGGGTACATAGCTGAGAATTGTCCCTCCCACAGAAAGGGAACAGCAGTGGTGTAAGCAGTGGGTAACTTCCATCTAATCTCCTTTATGAAAGTTCCAAGCAGGATTTAGTTAGCCTTCCAATCTTGACATTTCAGCCTGTATTAATAAAGCCCTGTAGGACTGGGCACTAAGAAGACAAAACAGGAGGAAACTTAACGCTGAGAGCGTGTTACATCTTTAACAAGATACCTTTAAATTCTCGCAGTGAAAGTATAACAGCTGGGAGTTCTGGAGTAATGTCCTTAACGTGCATTTACTATCCTATTTGTCAGGCCTGTTCTTCCCCACAACTGGAAAACCAGCTGGTATCATGTAAAATTGCTGTGATTGGAGCAGCACATCAGAACAAATCAGTCAGCAGATGAGATCCTGAGCAGAGCCATCTCTTTGCAGCAGGGTCTGCTTCTCCAGGCAGGAGCAGTGCTCTGCCACTTGCCTTGCCCTCCTAGGTGAGTCTGGGCAGGTCACCTTGGGGATTTTCAGACCTGAGCACCTACAATAACCTCTGGTTATTACGTGTCAGGTTGGCCCATGTGGTTCCTGTGTGCTGAGAGCTGAGCACAGTGCATGTACTAAAAATGGCCCAAAATATAGGTCTGAACAGCCTGGCTGGGCCAGAAGAGCCGGGAGGTCTGTGAGCACAAGGCTAGGTGCTGGGAAAAGCAATTCCTATAATGAAAGTTGTCAAATTAGTTACCAAAATCCAAAGACCTCCTAGGCTTAGTTATTTATTACACTACATGTGACTTGCTCATACTAGGTGCTGCTGTAAGGCTGACTGAAAAAAAACCTACAAGATTTGATGCCTTGTTTTTCTTTTTCAGCCTTCCAGAAAATTGGAGTTCCTTTTGAAGTCAAGGTCAGCTCTAGCAAGGGGCGAGTGGTGGTAGCAGGTCATTGCACATTTTGATTTATCACCTCAGTTTCTTTCCCCTTCCTTTACTAAACTCACTGGGTTTTCTCCTCACTTTTCCATCCATGTAGCTCTCTCCCTGTGTTTCCTCACTACTTATGGTGTCATCCTCAAAACTTACAGAGTCCAGACCTCTGGATTTTGCTGGGTTTGTATGGTTGGACTGGCTGGTCGGTCTGGATACATTAGGTGAGCATCCAGCTGCCTGCTTGGGAAGTGGGTGTGCTCAGCCCTTCTGCCAGTGCCAGCCTAACACTGTGCTACCAGCAGGCACCAGTGACTGGGAGCTGCTGGCGTACACCACCCCAAAAGCCACTCTAGAGTCCTCTCAGGGCCCCTTCCCTACCTGTCCATTGCTGTTCTGGGACACCAGGACCTCGACCTCCTGCATTCTCCACTCCTATACAACAAGAGTAAATGCAGCAGCCAAAGTAAGCTGAGGAGCAGTTTGACTTGCCTGTAGATAAATACATTGGTAAGAGATAAGAGGTATGAAAAGCATAGGAAAGCCTGAAACACATGTAAAGGGCTGCTTCAAAGAGAGAAGAAATACTCTTCTTCAAGGAGAAATAGCCTTCTACACATCCAGTGTGGGCCAGACAAGCAGTGAGGAGCTTAGACTATAGTAAGGGACACTTAGGTCAGGCTCATAACCATGAAGTAAGCCAGGAAATGGGCTGTGAAATCACCAATGAGTGTTTTTTAGAGTTAGATGAGAGTTGGTCAAGGATGGCTTAAGAAGACTTGATTTTTGCCTCAGGGCAGAAGGATGGATGAGGTGACCTTCCAGCCTGATCTGATAGGATTTAATGCTTGTTGGTAAGGTCTTGTTTCTTAGTAGGTACAGAGAGGAAAGAGGAGGACAGATCTGGTGGATTCTTGAAAGAAACTGTTTTTAATTTAGTCACAAAGAATGATCTGCAGCTGCCAGGGAAATGAAAAGCAGGTTATGCAAACTTAAGATTTTCCCTAACAATGGGAGCAGTGTTATTGCAATGCATAAAAGACTGAGCAGAGAACTAGGGGTATATATCAACTTTAATATGTTTAATTTAAAAAGGAACAGGTTGCACCAGCAATTTTTGTTTTTTCTACTTAATGAGGCCCATTCATAAGTAGAATAACAGGATTTGTCCTGTCACCCAGAGGAAATCATGGTGTGTACTTTGTACTTTGGTGCAAAACTTGTGCACAGTGATTCAAAACTTTTTCCAGCCCAGCTGCAGTCAGTTTGATGTCAGGATCCTTTCATCTAGAGACAGATGCACCCTTGGTAGAATCCCTTTGTTCAGCCTTACAAAGTACTAGCAAAAGATTACAAATCTTTTTGTAATCTGGTTTTCCATTACAAATAAAAGTATACATGGATTATTGCATGTTATTCCTCAGAGATAACTACTATGAGGTAAGATTTGAGTTATCAAAGACCTGGTACCCTATTCCTGCACAAGGATCTTTAGTGTATTTGTGAATTTTGCATTTCCCTGTTCTGGTCACATTCTTGGGTGCTGAGTGGTGTAGGGACAGTAACAGTAGAGCACTGCATAACCTTTGATGCTCCCCATATGTTGGGACAGTTCTTTTTCTATAGGACTTAAAGCTTTGAAAAGGGAAAAGGTTTTCTGCACGTCTTGGATCACAGCACCAGGCTGAAGACAGGACTTGACTCCATTCTGGTGTGTAGATGAATACAGGCTGCTTTCCAGCTGCTTACTTAAGTATGAAGTGGCCTTGATGGGCAGGCAGAGGGCAAAAAGCTGGGGGATCCCTCAGGACTGGATGGGAATGACAGGTAGATCCTCAGTGGGCCTCAGGGAAGACTCATGTCGTCTGTATCTCACACTGCTTTCAAGAGGCTTCACATTGGAGTTCTGATGGTCTCCCA